TAATGAGTGTATGACCCCCTTGTATAAGGTTACCCTTGCTAGCCTTATTCATACTTCTGGTTAAGCATGAGTCATGTCTCTTGAGGCGAAACAAGTACCGTAACGAATGTCCTGGGGCAGTCTGACAAAAAGAATAAACGGTTCGTAGAGACCCTGGATACTAGAGAAGGGTTGAATTGGAGTCGATACTCTTGGTCTTTGGAAACACTTCCCATGGTCTTCTCGTCCGGTTTTATGTCTGGTTCTACTCATTCGTACTATCGTCCACCTCTTTGGGATTTTCATTGTGACCGCGGGGCTACCGATGGACGATATCTCTAACGCCACCAAGAGACTATCGACCCTTTGTGCGGCGAGGCGACGACTAACACATCTCGCGTGGCCTACGAAGCTAAAATGCTCGAGCGCTTTGACCAGACCTAACGCCATTCCAGGCGGTGCTGACAACTAGAGACTGGCTAGATCACAGCGGCCCGTTTCCGGACGAGGTCGCCCGCATTTGGCATGGCAGCTGTGCCTGTCTCAGGCCATGAGTGAGTCGAGCCAGCACCGAGGTAATAAGGGACCATTTCCCGTCCTTTCTCACGGTTTGTGGAAAGGCCGTGCTTGGAAAGGCCTGGACGCCTGGATAGCGACGCTAAAGAACCCAGGTCGTCGGGAACCAAAGAGAGGGCTTACCGAGACATTCTGAGGTCGCCGTTAGTCCCAGTCATTCAGGACAAAAACCATCCGTCTTCACGAACACCCATCGTGCTCCTGGAGCTTTGGCCATTGCCCAAGATCAAAAGGGGATTCGCCGTGGCGGCAGCCCTTGGAGCCGTGCCTCTTCTAGAACGGGGCCTGAAGCCTCGTCGAGTTCAGGCGTCTTTCTCGCCAAATCTACAACGCTAATGAAGTCTGCAGACTCGCGCCTTTGACGTCGACCTCACAATCGCCGGATCCGATGCTGACAACAAGTCGAAGAGATGGCCATTGGAAGGCATCCTCGGACAATAAGCTGAAGAATTCCCGGGATGAACAGAAGATGTTGCCAAGAGCCCATAGATCCAGTCTGTTCTCTTGACGGATTAGCTATGGATGCACCGAATAGTTGATGACTAAAACCGCGCCAGTGGCCCATGGATTGTCGGGTTGCGCAAAAACAAGCTTCCAGGGGACTCGTCTTTGGTCGCGGCTTCATAATTCAGTGATAGGCTATCATCACTCTGGCCATCAAGGCTGAACAAGGAGCCGGTTTTTCTTTGCATGGCAGGCGTTGACCAATTGTGACGGCAAGATGCAGACAAGCTGGTTGAAGCTGACAAGAATGCCTCGTCTGAGTCATCTCGTAAGAGAGCTTGGGGACAAGCGTCAATATCAGCAGGCAACGAGGAGGGGAAACTCAAACTGGAGCAGGCAGAAGCCTAGTCAATCCAAGTTACATATATCTGAGGTCGTACAGCTTTTGGGCCAGTATTCCATCGGCCAACTTCGTCGACGTCCCACCCTGAACCATTTCGTCAAATTTCAATCAATACTTGCGTGCGACATCCGACAGATTTGCACTGTACAACCCCGCACCGCCGAGGAATCTACCAAAACAATGAGCGACGATAGCGCAAAGTGGGAGCCCTCGAAGCCGGCCTCGTCGAGCTGGGACGAGGCGCGCATCATCCCCGCAGATGGGTGGGAGCGCATGAAGAAGGGACTCACACCACAGGATATGGACGACCGCTGGGCCATTGTCCACCTCGAGAAGGACGGCGAGGAGAGCGTCGTCTTTGCCCGGAGTTGGACTGGATACACTCTGGGCAAGATCACGGTCGAGCCTGCAGGAGATGATGGCAAGAGCCGTCGGATAACCAAGTTTACATGGGAAACAGACAGGGAGAGATGGAATGTCGAGGATCCAGGAACGGAGGCAAGGGACTTGGTTGTGAGGTTCTCGAAGGGTGTTTTTCAGGTTGACTTGGCGGATGAGCCTGCCTCTGAGTAGGACAATCAGCCGAAGAGAACATGGACCGACTGATCAGCCGTCAAACTTGACTGGAATTCCACGAATCAAAGAATCTTGATCAAATGATAGCTAGTCTTATCAAATACGTTTAAGAGTTGATAGAGGGTGATGTACCTTCGCATTAGGAACCCAAGGGTGTCCAGTCCCTTTGTTGTGTAACGCGCCCTTCCCCATCGCCCGCCTCAATGAAATAACTTCCAAAGCCTGCATGTTGTGGATCCCACGACAAAGACACGGATGTGAAACGAGCTAGCTACATAAGTGGCCTTTTGCATCTTCCAGGCAACAATCCCGGTGTTTCCCGAACACCAACATCCGCATCTGTAGTGTAGTGGTTATCATCCTTGCCTTCCATTCCAACACCTGGTTAGCAAGGGACCCGGTTTCGATTACCGGCGGATGCATCACGCGGATGATTATGATTTTGCTTTTTCTCTGCATTTCTGAGTCTGTTGTTGAGCTTTTTACGAATTCTCTCAAGTCGCTCACAGGAACACCCTAATCTATATATAAGCATAACTAATTATATGCATTCGGCTGAAACCTTTTGATGCATGCCATCATACATTAGAGTTTCGCGGTCAATGAAGTGTAAAGCAGGTTGATATTGGAAATACAGGTCCCTGCAAGTGCGAGCACACTGTAAAACTCGATCGTTAGACGTGAGGGATGTGTTTCTATTGTTCTTTCTTGAACTCAGACTGACCGCCCAGTATTCGCATTTATGTGTAGGCTTGTCCCTATGTGCTTGCCGTTCGAGTCATTCCAAATCGCTCGAGAAGAAGAAGCCAAGTAGAGAGAGGTGAGTCGAATCCTGTATCTGACTACAGGACTCCAAAAAAGACTTGCAGTAGGTAGCCGAGTGTATACGACTCTGCAGGCGATAGAAGCAGGCTGGGACAGAACCGAGCATCCACGTCGTGATCTTTGCCGTCTTGAGGCTGCCTTGGTCCGTCGGCCGGCTGAAATGTTCATGAATGCATACACGGGCACACCAGTACAACAAAACGCGGCCGAATCAAATGATATCCCAGATTAAATCCGTGATTTCCTGCCCATATGTGACACTGGTCTTCGGATCTGATGCCTCTTACCCCGTGCCGGGTATTTGAGTTGCATGCGGCACGGTTAGACCGACCTTCCCGAAGAAGTGAGGGTCACAGTGCACATGAACTCTCACTATCGCCATGCATGAGTGAGAGGGGATAAGAGACAATTTCATGTTGTCACCACACGTGTTGAGATAGCCGGTTGGTTATGTGAATTAATGTTACAGTGTTGTCCCCTTTGTGGAACATTATCCAGCTCAATATCCTACTAGGTGGCCAGTCAGAATCATCATTTCCCCCAACGGCTTGTCCTGATGACCTTTTCCGAAGCCAAGAAAGGCATCGCCAATCCAGCTACATTTTCATACAAGCCGTGCGTCTTGACTTAGGCCCTGAACCTGCCCATAATCTACATGCTTCGCCTTGGCCTATAGACTTGGCCAGATCAAAGTACGGGTAGTACTTTGAGAGCTTGCTAGAACCCAAGTTACAGCGGCATGAGACATAAATTAGGTACATGCGCAATTGGCTCTACAGGAAGTTGCTTCACTGTAAGCTCTACGATGTCGCTTGAATCTGGTAGACACTGGTATAACTCGTACACTGTATTGAGCGCCAACTGACGATCGAACTATGGCTTGGACAGTCTCAAAACTATCAGCCTGGACGCCAACCGCACATGGTCATCAATTTCTCCTGTTTAAGACTGACTTGAAAAATGATACTTCTTTAGCGAGGCCCGAGGCCACTTTGTCAGGTTTCTCACAATACCATAACGGAGGGGAGTTCACCCGCACGTGGCAGGTGCCACAGAGTCGTAAGCAGGCTACACGGACATACCAAGAAATGACTCGATACCCTGGAGCATAGATCATGCGCGAATCCGAATATTGGATGCAAGTCAGCGCAAGTGTTGTAGCCAGAGTCAAGAAAGGAAGCTGTTCCAGGTATGGAATGCAAGTCAGCGCCGATATTGGAACTTCCGTGGCTTCGTCCAGACTGGAAACGCTAACTTTGGGGTGTTCGGTCTAGACTCAAGATCCAACTTTTGGGGGCTCATAGTGGTATTGGTCGCGATGAGATCTTTTCCAAGAAAAGCTAGTGAAGATGAGATCTTGGGAGGTATATTAACCTCTCCGTGTCACGCCCATTCCCCTTGAGTATCTCATCATCCACAGCCAGCATCTGCTCTTACAGTTTCAAGCATAGGTAGTCTCTAGCCTCTTTGATATTTCCCACTATCTCTGTCAACGACAAAGCCGAAATGCAGTCCGTTATCACCATCGCCACCCTGATCACCGCCGCCTTCGCCGGCGTGATCCCCCGAGATGAAGCCAACGGACCCGTCAACATCCCCGTCGACAGCGTCGGCAACCCCAAGGGTGATACGGTTCAGGCCATCACGCACTTGTACATCTGCTCCGACGCCAACTTCTCCGGCCGTTGCCAGAACTTGGAGTCCAACACTGGCCAATGCTGTAAGTTGAAACTCATCTAGCGCGTGATCACGGCAAGGAATGGGAATTATTGCTAAACTCAGGCTGCATCTAGACGACTTGGGCAACGGCTTCAACGACGTTGTTTCATCGCTTGGGCCTGATGCGGGAACTTCTTGCACTATCTGGGAGTAAGTGTTTCTTAGTACTACGCATGCCCTCTAGCTATTCTGAACGACTCATTTCACTAACACACCTACAGGAATGCTGGATGCACGGGAGCCTCCATCGTCAATATTGTCAACCCTGGTATCTACAATCTCGCTGACTCCAACTGGAACTTCAACGACAAGAGTACGTACCCGTACATGCTTCTTGGCTTCCACTCAAGACTAGAGAGAAACACGTTCAGACAGATTGCTGACTACTGCCTTTGCTGCTAGTGAGCTCCTACCGGTGCTTCTAGGTCCGGGTGACGCACCTCAATCAGCACCGACGATCCAAAACTACAGCCACTCTGAGGCGGATGACAGATAGCTCTCAGCGGTGCCGAGTATCGAGTTGCAGCATAGTATGGTTCGAGGACGCGTTGCAGCTACTGGGGTATTCTTTTTTCATGGTAGAGAGTTTGAAGGGCACTGTTGGTATCCCTATTACAGGGTAGTTGGTTCGAACCGTGGGTTGACGAAGAGATCAATTGAACTATATGAATATCTGCGTAGTAGGTGTAAAAAGGAGGTTCCAACCGTAGGCTGGGCTGGCTACGATGACCGTAAATAGGGCCCCCAATTGGCCCCTGCGCAGTCGGCTGTATGCCGCGGTCGAATTGGACTTCCAATCCGACAGGCACATAGGGATAAGAGATGAGAAGTAGGCCCAAAGTTGGTTTAATGGTTATACGAAGTCATCTAGATCAGTGTCTGCCAAACCGCTCACAAATATCGACTGTGTGATAACTGTAAAAAGCTTGCAGACAACCCCACTTCGTATCTTAGTAAGGGGAACGTAAACGGCGAGCTCAAAGCTTTACACCACCTCAGTCAAAGTTAGGCGATAGTCCGAAGCTGTAGTTTCAAACCCAAATGATGGGCATGAACCCGGTCATTGATTTGCCCTTTTTGTAGTCATAGAATGACTATTCACACGCCATGACTTCCAAATCGTTTCTCTCCATATACCCCTTCAAATCCTTCAAAAGAGCATAATCAAACTGCCCGAACTTGATCATAGTCGTTCCGCTGCTCTCTTCTCCCTTGTCCTCGTAAAACGGTTCTGTTGCATCGCAGACCACGTCGAGGCCAACGTGTTTGCCCTTGCTATCTCTAGCATGGATAAGCATAACGCGATCGAGTGATTTGGACGGGAGAAAGATTCCGTGGAGCTCAGAGGTGAAGAGAATTCCTTGGTCAAGCAGTTAAAACGCTGTTATATAAACTTAATTAACTAAAAGACTTAATATAAAGAAGAGAGAAATAAAATAATAGGTAAAAGCTACAAATAAATATCAAAAGTCCTCGAGAGTCCTCCTCCCTATACCGGTTCAATCGGATCTTTTCTTGGGATACGTGCTGTAGCTATGACGGACTCTGCTTGGGCCCAATCGGTGGTTCTGCGCAAAACGCCGTCGGCATCCCACTTAGTTGCAAAGGGCAGGATTTCCAAATAATCTGTCGATTTCCAAGGCGCACGCATATTATTTCCTTGCACAAGCCACCGCCCTTACTCTACTTAGCCATCCGCCTTCTAGTGTCTGACTCGTGCGTTATGGCGATTGACACCGCTCTTGATTCTACTACGCAGTAAGTTGTGTCCTTCAACTAGAAGGCCCAGTTGCTAGAACTCTCTTCAGATGAGCCGACGGGAGGTGGCCCGCACTCTTCAAAAACAATTTACATCTAACGTCGGCTTCGACAACGCCGTTGAACAAACTTTGCCTTCATATTAGCTCCGACATTGATAACTTACTTGGACCACTTGGGTTCCAGTCATGGTAAAGATAAAAAGCCCACCATATCTGTCACGAGAAGAGGTAGGTCACACGAAATTACCTACTAGCATTCAAATCCTCACTTCCATCCGAGCATTACATACCGAAGATAGACGGAATTATAGAGACAACACCCAGTCCCAGTAAAACTCGGCCCAAGTCACAAAATGAAGGCTGCCATCTTAACACTTCTCGGCGCGCAACTCATTGTAGCCGCCGAAACTACATGGTGCTGGGGCGCCCATAGATCAAATACTCAGCGCGTTAGCAAAGGGGATGTCGAATGGGCTTTGAGACACCGCACCACCGAGTTGGGCTTCCCCGGCCGCCAGACCATCTCCTGGAGATGGATTCAGTGCACCGAAACCGACGAGTACAAGTCTATGGATGTTGCTGTTGTCACTACACCGCGCAGTAAGAAACTAAATCGTACTTATCTTTGAAATCATACCAGAACTGATCTTGAAATAGTTGTCACCGACGGAGCTCATACTCAGCTTGCCAATGGACAGGTGATCTGTAGAGTGGGCGGGGAGTACTTTAAATGCTAGAGGAAGGTGTTTTACCTAGGGGCTTTATCGTGTTACGGCCAGCTGGTCGTAGTGAAGTATATTAGCAGAAGTCGAGGCTGCGGGTACCAAATAGTGTCGTGGCCGTGACAGCTTCCCTGAAGCTATGTGCTGTAAGTCGTAAGGCTTTGGTGGTCAATCGTAATCTTATTAGAGGGGTTCTTAGTTAAGATAGCTGAAAGTGATCGTGAGATCGAATACTAAATTGATTGCTGAAGAAGCTATAGAAGTCCGTTCTTGAGCCTAGCTCAAGTCCATCCTATATATAAGTCTTGTTCCTAAACATATCCTTTGTTGGTGATCAACTTGTTTGTCGAGTGATCGCTTAGTGGATATTGGTGTGTGTAAGGCGCAGGCGCTCATTGATCTTATCTTATCTGCACGTGACTTTGCCACAGTTCTTCCGTTCCGCGCGAGTCACCCTATGTTCCCGTCCGCTTGTATATATCGTGTGCCGCAGCCGCCGCAAGCCTGCGGGGCAGGCCCTGGTCTTGGTTATGCACGTTGGGTCGTAATGGTAAGAAGCGACTGTGCGATGTTGTGGCGGTCATATAGCCCGAGATTAAATTTCACGATTTATTTAAAAGCGACCTTGGCGATATTATTTCACCTTATTCCAAAAGTCAAGATGAATGACGTAGTTGAAGGGAGTGTTGAGCTAGTTGGGTTTACCTGATTGAAGTTTTATAGCAAGCCATAGGTTACAAAGCCTGAAATATACCGCCTCTGGGTAGTTAATAAGATTAGTCCTAGTAAAGTCGACTAGGCTATTTTCTGGCTATTTTACTGAAGCAAGCTCCTTTTTGCCCCTCCACACCCTGGTCTTGTTAAGAGCTTATCGTCTCCGGACATGTAACTGCGAGAGCTAGACTACAACTATGAGATGCCTCGGTATATGTTTTTCTTTGTTCTTAAAGGGTAAAAGCGCTGACATATCCCTCCGTTGGGTTGTTCGGATGAGTCATGCGAAGTTTTGCACCCGAACCCCAAGGGCATCGAGTACAGGACCATGAAGAGCCCTGCTCCGTATTGGAGTAAGACCCATCTGTATATTGATATCCAAGATGCTGGCCCTGTGCTGCCGTAGCATAGATGAATGCCCAGCTTGACGATTCAACCGTGTCCCAATCAAATTCACCCTGATAGCTACTGCTTCCAGTAGGCTTGTTGACCTGCACCTCTGCTTCGCAATGGGGGTATTGAACCGAGGTGCCTACTACGTTCTAAATCTAGCGTGTCTTACACAGTGTATTCTTTCCACAGGTCCGTGTTCCACTCAGCCTATTTCTCTCCTCGCGGGATGACGGGATGCCTGGAATGTGGCAGTAGAATTTTCTTTGTTTAGCAGGGGCAGAACACCATCCATTTTGAAATCGATACATGGGCCCGATAAGTAGACAGACTCCATCCAGCTCATTCAAGACGTAGTCGCGTTTAATGGCTGTCTTTTGATGCCACTATTTATATTGGTCGTGAAGTGATAGAAACTCGTCCATTGTAAGGTCGACGTAAAAAGCAGGCTGAGGAAAATCGTGTGTTTCAGGAGGGCTAGAGTCTAGAGCATATGAGCTCAGGGCTGTCAATGCCAAGATAAAGATGGCTTTGAAGAAAAACATGGAGATTGAAGCTGCAGTTCCTAATGTGAGCCAATATTAATAACTGAAGATAACTGTGCGTCCGGTGATTACGTTTAGGCTTGAGCGTCTAAGGTGAACGGACATTTGTTTGATCATTTACTTACATTCTGCGGAAGCCTGCTGTCGTCTCTGGGCTGGAGGGATCGGCATCCCTCCGGCCGCCCTGCGCCGCTACCCGGGGTTTCCTCTAAGGCACGGCCCAACACCAACCAGAATCCAATCAAGCGCCCAAAGTCCCTTACAAACCTTCCAGGTCCGGTAAGTGGAGCAAGACTTCTGCGAACCCTGAAGTTCGGAATGGAGTTGTACAAGACTCCGGCGGGCGTCAATCCTTGGGAGACAGCAATTGACTAGAAGTCAGGGCATACTGAGGTAGTAGTGGTTGTCCTGGTCATATGGTAGGCTTTTAATGACAGCTCCGCACAAGTCACTATCTGGATCCTGCCGGGCCGACTTGTCAGGCGAAGAATACCACCAGATATCTTCGTCATCGGCAGTTGGTGGAAATTTCGCTTCCCATGCAAACGTCAACTATCGTCGTACTTGACCAACGGGTAGCGGGCACCATCAAGATGGAAGCTGCAAAGGTCTTGATTGTATGAGAATCTGACGGAAACTTCGTGGCTGAAAGTCTACCCCGGAAATGTGAAAAAATATTGACAACCCGGATCGCCGGGAAGTCCTTAAGACCCCCTCGACCTCCTTCCCACCTCATCATCAAACGTGTAATCGCAAAACTGCAACATACGCCACTCATTTGAACATATTATAACAATGCGTCTACCTAATCTTCTCGTTGTGGCGATGCTCCTCGGCCTCGGCGCCACCGCCGCCTTGCCTGTCGAAGATGTCACGGACATGACAGACTTCGAAGACGTCGCAAATGACGCATTGGCGAAACCACCTCCTCACAAAGTAGAAAAGCCATGGATGATGTGGGGTGTAAGAGAACCACCAAACACCAGCAAGGCCATAGTGAGAACTAACGATGATGTTAGATGTGCGCTATAGCATCGAACCAATGCATCATTCACGGGCCTCACGGTGAACGCAGATACCAGTGCAAGAACTTTGTTCGTACCCATCTTTTTGTTCCGACTTCCTCCCCGCGATGTTTGGAATGTAGAGGGAGACAGCTAATGGTTTCCCGCTGTAATAGTGTACAAGGGATGGGGGCACGTGTCGCGGACAATATACGACAACACCACGCATTAAGACTAGGTCCCATTGCAATTAGGCGCTTTTGAGGTCGGGTCTCATGTGGTGTCTTTCTTTGAGGTTGGGCTCGGCCGGTGCTCAGCCATGGAGGTCGTCAATTTGAGCCTAGATGGCGGATACGGAGCAGACGCGATATGTCAACCGAAGACTGTCTAGTCAACGGATATTTGCACGTTTGATGATTGGGTGGGCGAAGCACATGCCGTCAAGTCTCATCGTTTCAGCATTGGAACGTATGTTGAGTCTTCATGTCCCTTGACCTATTCGAGACTGAAACTTTCACTTGACTTTGGGAGAATTTAGGTGCTTAAATATGATTTCATTACTTGTCAACCTTGAAAGGACTCTGCTTCCGTGTATCCTAGGGGAATAACATCGCGAAATTAACCTCCGAACCCAATCACAATTTGACGTTGGGAATCTCAAACGTCTGCACCATCTTGGTCTCAAAGTAACTCCAGAACTTGGTCCCGCTGATCGTAGTATCAGTCGCCTGCACATAGCGATCACCGCTTCCAATCTGCGTTCTCCACCGCGTGACAGTAGCACCGTTCGTCGACGCTTGCGAGAATCCGCTCAGGTCAAAGTTGAGGTACTGCGCCGCGCCCCAGTTAACAGCAACGATGATAAGCTTCGAGTTGGCCGCATCGTATGCCGCGACGACATTATCCGAACCGCCATCCAGAATACGCATGCCCTCGCGGATATGGCGCGCAAACTGCGCAAAGACAAAGTACTTCTGGTTCGCCGAGCCAAGCGTACCAGCCTCATTGTCCGCATCAATAACACCCCAGCCGCCGCCGTCAAGAACCTGCCAGTACACCCAACCCGTGGGCCGCAGCCACCGGAAGTCGAGAATCATGTTGCTCACGAGCCTCTCGCCCGTCGCGTCGCTCTCGCCGTACTCGCTGTTCCAGAGACGGAGGCCGCGCGCCGAGGCGAGGGAGTAGACCTTGTCGCGGGCGCCGCTGGCGTACTGGTACCCGTGGACGTTGATCCGCGCGACGTTCTTGAGGGCGGCGTCGCCGAGGTTCTGAAGTGTGGTGACGGCCTGGTCGTAGTAGGACTCGTCCGAGGCGGCGATGGACATGCTGGTGAGGCCGCGGTTGTTGAGCTCGGTGCGGAGGTAGTTGATGATTGTCGCCTGCGTGGCGACGTCAATGTGGCAGCCTTCCTGTGTGCCGTCGGCCTTCCACCAGTTCGCGGTGGGCTCGTTGAAGGGCTCGACGGTCTCGAAGGTGATGCCCCAGTTGTCCTTTGCGTACTTGGCAATATTGGCCATGTAGACAGCGTGCTGCTGGAGGTTCCACGACTGGATGTTCTCGCTGCCGTCGGCGGAACCGGACGGGTTGTGGTTCTTGGTTGCCCACCACATGGGTGAGTTGGAGAAGAGCTCGAAGCGGTTTGCGCCGCGGCTCTTGGCCTTTTGCATCATGGTGCGCTGGTTCACGTCGACGTCCCACTTCCAGGCAGACGAGGCCGGGTCGGTGTTGGTGTAGTCGACCCAGTGTCCGTCAATCTGCCGGGACGCCATCATCTTGGTCGAGACCACCATGCTCTCGCCGTTGATGCTGTTCGTGCTGCAAGCACCGGCGTTGTGACGAACGATATTGAAGCCCAGACCGGGCAGGCTTGCGCCGCCGAAGGTGGTGGTCTTGGTGGTGAAGAAGATGTCGGCGAGGTCATCGCGGGTGCCGAAGCGCTTTGCCCACCAGGCGAGAGAGGTTCCCCATCCCTCCCAGGTGCCACGGTTCGACTTGGCGTCGATGGTGGTCGTTGTGTCTGCAGCAGCGGGGGAGACGGAGGCCAGGCTCACGGCCAGGGCGGCAAGAGTCTTGAAGTGCATGGCTAAGAGATCTGAGAAGCCGGGACCTGCTGGGACGAGAACTTCAGGTACAAGCCAGGACAGAGGTTCGTCTGCTTCTTATGCTCTCACGATCCTACGCAGCCAAGTTGACCTCCTTCCCTCAAGTGAGATACGGGAGCAGGGGAGCTGACTCGAATGGTGGACCTCGTATGTTAGAGTGCCATAGTAAACGGGGATACGCGGGCCGTGTGATAGCTTGAGTCTCTTGGAAAGGGAAGCTAGAATGACCCGACCTAACGGTTTTATTCAGTAGTAACTTAGCCGGACCATTGGTCGTTCGTCGAAACGGCCGTTGAGTCGCTTCTGGGAAACGGAGCTCGGTCAGTTGGGTCCGGCACGGATGTGGCGTTGATGGTGGTTAAGGATCACGTAGAGTCTCGAGCTCGAGCTGTGCCCCGCAGTCTGGGCGAGGGCGCGAGGGGTTAATTCCATGTTTAGAGTTAGATTATCAGCGACAACGTGGTGCCGGGATCCGACGGACAGTATTGACAAATTGTCCGTGAATAGAAGGCGGATACGAGCTCGATTATGATCGCCAAGCTGTATTCTACTACGGGATCGTTAGTCAAGAGTAAGATAGAACGGCGAAGGGGCAGAAGGGAAACAGATCTGATTCATGGCGGGCGTGCCTGAAAATACTGTACAAGAATGCGCAAAGCGATAACAGGTATGGATACGATACCAAACGTGTCCCCTGGGTATCCTGAGTCACGACATCAGTCTAAGCCAAATGCGTGGCCCGCCGTATCCCGTTTGCCAATTCATATTCCAACACATCATCATCATCCCTCAAAAGCCGCCAATGCCTAGCTCCAATCCTCCCCGCATATGCGACCCAATGTGCGTGCCTGGAAACCCCCCAAGCTCGGTAGAATGGTATGCTGCGCGGCTAGTCTAGACTGTATAGTCTGGAGAACGCGGGGAAAAGTGCCATGCTTTGATGGTAACATGCATCGAGAGGTGTCAGCGGCGCAACCCGCTGCCGCGTCTGCATTGGCGGAAGATCATGCAAGCGGCATTTGGTACCTGGTCCATCCGGCTCCGCGATCCGCGGACATGTCATGAGACTTCTGCCAAATTTAGTCGCAATTTGGGGTACCTTTGGCCATGGATTAGCTCTCGGGGCTAAAGCGGGACAACCTGCATGTGAAATCCAAGTTAGCTGGTTTTTGAGCAAATGTTTGAACGGAGTATTGACATACAGCCCGACGGCAAGTTTGGTAGGAAAACAGATAACGGAGTCGCAAATATGCTTGATCGCAAGCAATTGTGGTTAATGAGCTCATGGCAAGCTTGGTAATGGTCAAGACGCATCTGCTTTTGCATTAGAAACGGACGAAGCTTATCGGAACAATCAACGCAGACTTACCTTTGCGACTTGGCGACTGTGTAATCATACAATGTCGCGCAGGCAAGTAGGATAAAAAGAGTTCTTGTTTCCGGGCGAGAGATCAGCAATAGCCCAAAACCATCAGTGTCGAGCCTTTCTCTTTCTAGTGGGCGTCTGAGGGTTATTCAAGCTCGATGCCCGCATGCCCGCTCTGGAGTTCCGCGCAGTTGATTTCTGGACGATGGTCTTTGAGCTAGCGGGAGATTTATCCAGACCAGGTGTTTTGTTAGTCAATCCCAACCGTTCAACAGTGGTAGGCGGCGAATCGATTGGGGTTCCGAGAATGACCGGCAGCCCAGATCCAGAAGGCGCAATGGGTTTGTTGCAGGCCACCGAGGGAGTTGACAAGCCCTCTCGTATTCTGGCTTCAAGCTCGGCCTTTCTGGCAACTTTCACCTTGGCCTTCAGAGCGTAGATCTCCTCGTTCAACGTGGCCATTTGTGCAAACAGGCGCTGATTCTCGGCATCGAACGCGTCTCTTTCGGCCTCGGCTTTCTCGACAGCAGCAAGAAGCTCAGGAATTCTATCGGCCGGGTAGAGCACCACTCTCGGCGGATGACCAGCCTCAAGAGCCTCGACATCGTCAATGGCTCGCACAAGTCGAGCACTAGCGATAGCAACGCATTCGTCAAGGATAATCGGGGTCGCATTCTCCTCGCGTATCAAGTCTTTGTACAGCGCCGACGTTTCTTTCATCTCGGCTCCCTTCTCGTTGTGAGCGACGATCAAATCGCGAAGCTGCCTATTCGCCTCTTTGTGAGAGATGAACTTCGGTCCCTTGGGGGTGGCTTTGCGGCGCTCGGAGGCCGGCTTGGTAGGGGTCGAGGGAGCTGAGGAGGCACTCGATGAAGCGATGATGTCCACGTCGGGGGTCTTGGCTCGGCGGGCGCTGGAGAGATCGAGGGGAATCGGGGTGTCGTTGACTGGTGTACCTTCATCGTCCGTCATGATGTCGGTGGTGCCTGTGGTGCTGCCCATCGTCGCTTCTGAAGGAGTGGCGGCCGACATGTTCTCGGTAGTTACCCGCGGGCTGAGTTTCTTCGCCCTGGCTGTGAGACTTGTTTTAAAATCCTCGAACTCTTGAGGTTCTTCAGTCTCGTCTTTGCCGAGAGAAGCTGGACCCGAATCGTCTGCTTCGTAGTTGGAGTTCTGGATGATACGGCCTTCGCGCAAAGTGGATGATAATGATGGAAGAGAAAGTCTGTTGCGACCGGAACGAAGGCTGCCACGAGTGGGAGATGAGGTATTGGATATTTGGGAGCCAAGGTTGAGGGACACGCGAAGTTTTCGGGTGGTCAAGGGTGAATCTGGCTGATGGCTGGTGATATTATTGCCAGCAGCAGGAGAGGCAGAAACGGCAGGAGCGGCCGGGGACCCACCACCTCCCATACTTCTGGTTCTAGCCATCGTGGTGATAACTTTACCCTCGATCTCCTTCCAACAAAACAACGGTCAGCTCGAACACTCGACTCCAAAGAAACAGCTCGAAAAAATTGGGAGGCGCGGTGGAGGAAACTCACGATCAGACCGGTCAATCTTTCGCCTATCCTTCAGCAGTGTGCTCGTCCACGATGGCGGCTGTCGTATATTGCGATTGGCAAGAGACGCGTCTTGAAAAGCAGGGATATGAAGACACCGAATAGAGGTTGGGAGAGCAGAAGTTTTGACAGGTTTTCATTGGAAGCTTGGATATCTTTTAGTGGTACGAATACTCTCTGGCTTAGGCCTTCGAGACGGAGCAGCGCATCGTGAGCATCGTTCTCGGTCAGCAGGAAGCTAGAGGCCAGCGAAAGTAATGAACAGTGAAAAGGACAAAGACTGCCTCATACCCTTGCTCACTAGATATCTCGAAAGGCTCCTGATCGGGGTTCATTCCTCCAACAAGCGCACCACGCTCAAAGAAGCCAAGTACGTCCCCTTTCCCATTTTCCTTTCACCAAGGGCGTAACCACTAACATAATGCCAGTGCCATTCTGGATCACGTCGACTTTAATAAAAAGGATTAAACTACAGGTCAACAGCATGGCGGCTGCCCCTGGATCTCCCTGGTGGCTGCCAGCGGTGACGAGCTCCGGTCTGATCTGGTTAGTTGGATTGCCAACAGCACGATGGGAAAGACCATCACCTTGTGGAATACTCCTGAGGCGGTCTCATCTCATGTTCCAGAATATGAAACTATGGCAGAAGTCCAGGTCACAAACAGATTCCTGAACATAGGTAACTTGGGTAAGATGACTCTTTTTCGCGATAATATTACAGGATGATGGATGCTAATTCTTCACTCAGGTCGACACATCGACTCTACAACGCTGAGAAGCATTTTTAGGCTCAATTTCAAACCGTCATATGAACTACCTCAGCTGAGCGACCGGGCTCGATCAATCCCCGGGCCCGGAAGCCTGCTTGATCTCCCCGCCTCCGAGCGACATCCTCCCCACTATCTGCGGCGGAGGCACGGTCAAGAGGCATGGTAAGCCTCGCATCAACCTGATAGCGATGCGTAATGTGTCGCTGGTTAGTACTGACCTCCGGTTTACTACGCTGACTGACCCGTCGAGGCGCATGGCGCGCGTAACAATGGATGCTGCCGGAGCGCGCAAGCTCCAGTCCCTTGGAGGCGCGAGCCTTAGTACGCACGCTAATCATCAGAAGGCGGCCGACGAGGCGAGAGAGAAGTCGCAGCGCAGAGAGGACGAGGATGACGGCATGGTTGAGGGCCCCAGCAACGACGGCCCCGGTATCGAGAATACAAGGACAGTTCAAAGTCTCGTCTGCCAACTTTTGGTGGGCCTTGATGACACTTTGAGGTCCACGCTTCACCCAAGCATTCAGCAAGCGGCCGTCGTCTATAGGCCTACCCACGGCCATCGGCAGCCAATCTCGTTAACAATGGAGACTCAAAGAACTCGCTCCCGAGATCATCTACAAGCTGTTCCCGTCGTCTTCACTGCGGGAGCAGTTCACTCCAACCAAGTCGGATGCCGAGCTTGCGAAAGTGATACAAGCAGACCAGCCTTCCTTGATTTTATCGATATCCATCCCCGAGCTCTTGTATCGATGCTGAGGCCATTATATTCGCTTATTTGTTCATCGAGGGATTGCCCTGACGTAGAGGTGATACCTAATGAAAGAAAGCGGGATTATGTTGCAGTATAAAAGTCTGTCATACTCGACGGCATGCTCGCTCTACTCAATCTTTACCCTGAGTCCAGAGTCTGACGTAACTTCAGTATTTGTTCTTAGTCATCATCAAACCCTCGGCTCTTACTTCATACCATTTCTCTAAACTAGGACAATTGCAAGTTGTCGACCTGAAGCAAGACTGGGTTCCCTCTGTTTTCTTCGATACCAAACGCCAGTCAAAAAGCGTCTTTCATCATGGCTTGCCGATCGTAACTCATTTATCAAAGCTAGAGGGTTTGCACATTCCACCGACCCTGCCAGCCCTATCCAACTTGGCTTCATTCGGAGGAGCAAACACCAACGTCATCCATCAAAACTGCCGTCAACTGCAGATCTCTTCCTCTAATGTTCTTCTCTGGGCCTGGTAGTCCGATCCTGAGCCAATGTATGGTCTGTTCTTAAATATCGTACTACTCCCGTTGGTTATAGGAACACGGAATACCTCTCCGTTAAAGTAGTTGGTCGCAGCCGGGGAGATCTTACAGCGACAAGTACCCAGACCGAAGAGATGGAGATGTCTACACGCGAACTGGATCTTCTGATTTATTTTCACCGCGTTTGGCAAGGGCTTTTTGTCCACGGTCTGAGGTATACGGCGGCTGATGATTTCAATATTCAGGTCACCTTGATGGTGATTACCCTGTACGCGGCGCTGTTGGCCAAGCTGCAGGACATGTGGAGAGCGTACAAGGCAAAGCTGATTTCAACGGCTAATGCCTCGTTGTTATTAAAGTTTAGAAGCTTCTAACGTTAACGAAAAATGGTATCGGCTGACCACGACTCCAAGACCAACGCATACGTGCGTGTGAGGAGAAGGCTGAGAAGGACTCCCGGCGGAGGGTTTTAAACTGCCCGAGAACCACTCTCAATTGGTTCATTAGTCGTTCTACTTCATAGCCGAGGACTCTACGATTGAAAGCTATTGTTCGGTCGCAAGGAAATATATGGAAAGGATTTTCATCCTTACGTTTTCCCGCCCTGCAAGAGCTTTCTCTCGCTCATCGAAATCATACGTGAGAGGCGTGATGCCAAAGGCAAAGATATCGACGAAGATTAAGGATTCTCTGCTGAGCCTTGCACCCATGTCAGATAATTACAGCTGGTAGTAATCCACATGAAGCTTTATCTTGCTCAATATCCTCAGCCAGATCAATCGAGCTTAGTACCAGCAGGGAGACAGACGGATGACATCAAGGACGATTTCCCAGATTTGGAGCCAGAAATTAAAGACATGTCTACAACTACGCGAAGAATCGCTGGAGGCATCATGGCTTATCCAGCATGTCCCCGATGCAGAATCCCCCACGGGATCAACGTAACGATGAAGCCAAAGGATCATTCAAATTCGGAGGACATAGGTTTAAGACAAAATAGTCATCACATTCACTCAAGTAGTAGCGAGACGGCTAGGTGGAGTATTCCTGGTCCACGCATCGCCGTCATAGAATACTTGAAGAGAATTGGAAGAAGGAGTTCAATGGCAACTAGATCGCTCCTTCCCATTTATCTCACTTTCCGCGGAATAGGTTCTGCTTGTCCAGCTTCAACTTTTCATGCCGACCAATTATTCAATTTTTTTTTCCACCACCATATCTGTCCGCAGATTCCTCAATCCAAACTTTTCCTCTCTCTCACAAACAATCAGATTTTCTATCGAGGGAAATAAGCTAAATCATACGAGTAAGTCTGTGCTTTCAAAATTGCTTTCTCCCTTGGCTAACAAAAGGCTCAGAATGGCACCTTCCCTCGAACAAAGAGTCATCGAGGCACTCGAAAAGTGCTCCTCCGACACAGACACTCCCTTCGACGATGTCTTGCGCGTCGCACTGAAGGTCACGCAGAAGATGCTTGAGCAGGCCGATCCACCCGAAACCGCCGCACCAGTTGTCCCAGCTGTGGCATCTGTCCCCCTCGTCGCTCAGATCCCTCCTCCAGCTTCTGCCCTAGCTCCTAAGCCTACTGCTACTCGAGTTATTGCTTCTCTTGTTGCACCTGCCAATCCTGGTACACCTGGCACTCGTCGAGTTCTGCGTACCGCGCTTCCATTGACGATGGCTTCTGCTCGCAAACAGGCCGCCCGCGAAAGTGTCTCACCGACCCCGACTGTCGGTGACGAAAACGACGACAGAGACGAGTTCGTCTGCGAGTTCGCTGGCTGTGGACGCTCTTATGAGCACAAGAGCTCTCGCAACCGGGTACGTTTCTTGTCTTCCTAAACCGACGGGACCTTTGCTGACTTCATTTGCTACAGCACTACAAGGTCAACCATGGCGGTCAGCGTCCCAGATCGAAGTAAGGGGCATTCTGCAATTTTGCGGTTCCAGCGTTCGTTTCCGAAGAAAATTCTTCGCATAGAAGCCTCGAGTGGTAGGATGCTTGGGACGTTATTCAAGTGCGAGAACTGACTCCAACTGCGCAGACATGCGTCAAGTTTCTCCGCATATCCGTCAGTCATAGGCCACACGCTACCTAATACATCTTGGTTGTGATACATGATCTCCTTTAACATCTCCCCTCATTCTCCATATTATTGTAGTATTTGTTTCTCATGGAGCAACAAAAACTCGCCACTCCGAGCCCTATATCTCAAGCAGAATCTGGTGTCAACCGGTGTCATTATATTGGGAAGGATCATTTGTCCTTCGTTTCCTCTAACGGATCGATTGGTCTGCATCCCGGAGAACGCATTGCAAGTTGCGACGCTGTTCAGCTGGGTAGACTTCGCCCGGCACTATATAAACGCGTGCACCCTTAAGAGCAAGACTCCCGAGATCTTGGGCGACAAGGCGGCGACGCACATAAGGAAACTCTCGCCAGGCTCTCGCCATCTTCAAAGGCCTCTGAAGAATAAGCAGTACCTCGCGAGAGGGAAAATGAAATAATCTTGTCTACCGACTGTGCTGGCAAGACCTGCTTCAAAGGGTAGCTTACGGGCCTCCTGTTATTGAGGCATTCATTTGAACGGGAGTTCTCGAGTTCATCGCATTCTATGAGGGCAGCCAGTGAGCTATCGCAGTGGCTTTGCTTATCCCGACAACTGGGAATACTACCATGTCAGGCGCGAAAGGATGTGGTGTTTATAATCCTGACTAGGACTGTATTGGTACAAAAAACAACGAGCGCTCAAGTTACCTAGCGGAAGGCCCTTTCATTTACCCAAATCCAAAGGCGAAGGGGAAGGTTGGCAACTGTCCTTCTTCACTGTTGAGGAATTTGACTACATCACTCACTTCTCTCCCCTATAATTCCTTGTCTTTTTTTTTTTGGTCACAAACAGAACGATGATTTGACTACCCAGAATGGATAAGTTTTATGAAACCCCTCGCCATGGGCTAAATCATTACACACCGTGGCATATACACGGATTACTACCTTCAGTAACAAGGCGTTACTCCCCAAGCCCAACACCTCAAAGCCCCTGATTTCGGAATGAGCGGAGAAGATTCTTGATAGAATATACCGTTCCCTGCTATCGGTGCAAGGAGCCAAGGAATTACTTCCTGCCTGCAAGTCTTGGTTTACCTGGCGCCGGGGCCTGGGACATAGCCGGCGAGGCTATTCGCCACCAACAAAAGACTGTGGGATGGGTGAAGACTCAAGGATATCATCTTCCGTCGCATCCAACGGCTCCTGTTCTGTTCAAAGCGCCTCTTTGAGGTCTAGTTGCGTCCACCCTGGCCAGACTCATCGATGGCTTCACATGCATGGAATTGCCATGGACATTGGCACCAGTTCAGACATGCGGAATTATATAAAAACGATGAAGAAGACACCGAATCGTTTGCCAAGTGTTTCTTTATCGCAATGATCAATACATAAAAGACGGACACGTGGGACGCCTTAGAGGAAGCATGTCGTCATTGTGGACAAACCAGTCAGGCACGAAATAATGTTGCAGCTCCCCGTACTAGATGTCAATAGCACCGTGTGTATCGGCGATGATAACCCTTACGCTCGAAGGTTCGACTAACAGCAAAGCTTGTAAGGAGCGCCAGCAGAAGACGACTCTGTCAACGGGATCTGCTTTTCCGTTGAGTCTTCCGCTGTGGCGGAGCTTTCTAGCAAGCCACCTCACAACACCGTTCCACCAAGAGTGCGGATTGGGGAAGAATTCTCCGCTCCCTTTGCATTCTCGAAGGGCATCGCAAACCGCAAAAAGATCAATAATGACGATACTACCGCAAATTATCACCCACCGGCGATTATGGTGTTGGCTTCGATGCTTGATCAGACGTATGCCGTGTCCGCGGACATATTCGACAGCCAGAAGCTGATGGCAAGAGTAAAAGAAGAAGAGTCGTAACCAGACATAACATCATCTTAAGATTGCCATTGATCAACAGCACATAATTTGAAAGTCACTCACAGCGGAGATAGAGAAGAGCCCGAGTACGAGAATAGGAGACTGAGTGCATGAACGACTGCGAAGACTTCTACGACTCTAGGGACGACCATAAGGCGACGATAAGTGAGAGTCAGACGACCAAGAAGACATACTTCGACATTCCCTACGAGGAAGACTCCTTCGACTTGGCCATTGAGGATAGCTGAGCGACTCAATCCAAAATTCAACTGAAAAGTAACTCTGAGTTTCAAATTTCTCAACCACACATTGGCAAGGCCGACAAAAGTAGGATGAAAAAGAGACTGTCAACACAGAGACAAGAGAACGAAACTCAAATGAAGACGTTGGTGAGGTGCCTGCTTCGAACAGCAAGTAGATCACTCGCAAGAGAGAGAGAGAGAGAGAGCACAGGGCTGCCACGGTCCCCAGATTCGGTGCGTATTCACGACATCAGCAGTGCATCAACTTGAATATACGAGGAACATCAGCCTCTTTCCTCGGGGCGAAGGCTGCAATCAGAATTTTCACCTGGAGACTGCACCTTCCATTCTCTTTTCCTTCTTTTAGCCACCCACCTGTATTTTTCCCATTTCTTTTTCTCAATCGCACCTCTCTCACATTCTCTTCCAAGTCAACACGTTCGCTTGTATTCCTTCACCGGTACAACAAACGAACACCCTCTTCACCAAGCCATCAAGTTAGTCTCAGACCTGCATTGCATGGGTAGACAACCCTGCTACCGTTTGATACGGCTAACTGATGGATTGATTATCTAGGATGAAGCACGAAGCGCTAGACCCGGTCAACGAGGGTGATAATGTAAACAACAATCTCGCTGACGCCGATATTGCCAATGCCAGCGACAACGCGAACCTTCCTGCTCCCACTTCCATGGGCTTGGCCAGCCAGAATGTCAACACCTCTCCCGACGCTGTACATGGACGGCTTACTACTATCACAACCCAAAATGCTGCTTCAGCTAGCGGTGAGCATCGACAGCTTCATGGCGACGGACGTTCCGCATCAGCTACTAGCGCCAAGAAGCCTGCTGTAGCAGCAGCAGCAGCTCCATTCGGCGGCCGGCTACGAGTGCGGGACCCTTTTTCTGGCCGACTCGTTCGGGTACCCCAATACCCGCCGGGCTACTGGACCCATGGGTGGTACGTCTGTGAGGTTCCAGGATGCGGCCGTCGGTTCACGCTCAGGAGCTCGCGCGATCGTGTGAGTCACCTCATTGCATATTGTTCATCGATATCCTTACTAACCCCTCTAAAGCACTACCAGACTCAGCACCCCGTTACGAACTGAGCTCAGGTGCGATGCGTCCGTGAAAATTCAGTACTCTTAAGAGTCAAAGGATGGACTTGGGAGCCAGTCGTCTGGGAAGCAACAAACCCGGCATGGCATGCGGAAACAAGAGCCGAAGATACCGTGCTTAAACTGCAAGGAGCTGCTGGAAAGAGCTCTACCCAGCAAGAGAATCTCATTATGCGGGCTGCCCAGCAAGGGCATCTCATGTTGGCAGCCCCCCCAGCAAGGGCATCTCATGTGGTGGTGGTGGTGGTGATGGTGATGATGGCGATGGCCGGACAATAGTTCTATCTTTAGGAATTTCCATATCTTGAACCCTGAGTCCTTTGATAGTACACCAGGCCTTGTTTTCTGCTTCACAGCGTCAACACGTTCCTTTATCATTGCACATGAGCCGAGGAAAAAAAGCCTCCGCCGCTTTGATAGGTTTCCTTCCTTCATGTCCTCGAACTTTAATACAGCTTTGTCTGCCATCTGTCTGAGCAAGAAGTCTCATGGTATGTTATGTGGTGGACTGTCTTCCTTCTTGACAAGTTCATGTCCTTCCCCTGAAGAATCGTTGGTCTGACAAATTCTCATTGCCCCTTTTGTGGGCCATCTAGATCAAGCGCCTTCTTACTCTTTCATCAAAATCACACGTTCACCGACTGCGGCTGGACATCTCGAGCGACCTGTACCTGCCCATCTCAACCTCCGCCTCTACCTGGCCTGCACCTGTCCTACTGACTGACTTCCTTCCCTTCCATATCCCTTAGCGATTCGGTCCCCAACATGACAACAGTCTAGGTGAAATGTTTTCCCCTCTCTCCTTCGTTTTTCTTGTCTTCATTGTTCCTGACTAGTTTTTGTGAATCGAAGAAGCTTTTTCCGATCTTACACTTCCAGGGTGTGCGCTTCCTTCCCTTCACCGCTCTCTATCACCGCCTTATAGCACTATTGCCCTTTCACTTCTTATCATCCGGCTTCCCTCATTTTATCGGTAGCTTTGAGATTATTTGTGCCATCCCCGTCTGAAGCTCTCACCGTCGCATCTTTGTTCACTCAGCATAACAATCCTTTTTTTCATGAGCTTGGCTCTTTCCAAGCTTTTGTCAATTTCTCTGGTTTGTCCTAACTCACATCAATAAGCTGCCCTTCACAAAGCTCACACACATCAGGCACTTCCAAACACCGCTGTTTCTCTTCATCCAGCCAAGCATAGCTAGCAAAAACAAACTTCGGTAAGCTCCCTCGATTCCGTGTTTCGTCTGGCCCACCAAAAATAGAATGATTCCGTCTGGATACATTGAGTGTTATCATTTTCCAACTTTATAGGACATAATCCAAAGTGCTTCAAGACTGCTCTAGGTTCTGCAGAACAGCTGTTGCCGCCTAGATCTAACAACATCGGATATCTTCTCGCCCATACGCTGCCCAGGATCCTCTTTAGCCGCAACCCGTGTTGCGGGGTTCTTTCCCGGCTGGGTCATCTGCTCGAACTATTCTTTTTGCGGATCTCCTCAAGAACCTTACTTATACTTCCACCTCCATCATTGCCACTTCATTACTCTCGTCACCATACAGTATAGCAATGATGGAGGGGGCAAAGGCTCCCCACCACGAGACTGGGGGTGCTGAGGACCATGCAATTGAGTTGCAAGCGCTGCTGCAAAGAGCTAGGTAAGGAAAGATCTTCCTGCCATGATTAAGAGTTCAGCGGATCTCAGCCCGCCAACAGTTCGGAGGGAGCGTATAGATGTAGCTTCTTGTGGCAATCTCCATAATCACATGAAGACGACGGTAGCATATGAGCACCAGCAGGCGATATTCTTGTCATCAAGTATCAATAACAGCACAATGGCTTTTGATGATCACTAGAGCGACCCTTAATTCGCCAAGAGCACCAGTACCTCTTTCAAATTTGGCAGCCGCCCTGCTCCTGTTCGGCCCAGCCCGGTGCTGATGCTCCTGAACAAAGAGATTGTGTCCTAGAGTCCCGTCCATGAATGCCAGACACAGACTCAACTCGACATCAAGGACCACCCTTGAGTGGGTTCTTGTGTATCAAATCTGTCAGAGATAGGAAGGGAACAGGCATGGCAAATTGGAAAGGCAGGTTATGCCACGGAACCAGATGGTAAGCGCTTATAATATCACCTGCTCGGTCACGAGTCACGAGGAAATCAGCTAACACGCCATGTCACTAGGAAGTGGCTATGACCTTAATGATATTTTTTGGGGGCATCAACAATGATCCCGCCATTCTAGAGTGCAGATGGTTGCACCATTATTTGATTGCTTTTGCGACGGTAATTATGATCTCCCCAGAGCCCCTCGAACGCTTGAGCGTGAACTCACTCTCGCAACCTCAAAGAGCAGAATACCCCGAACCTCGCCCTCCACTCGCTCGTCTTGCGTTTGATGACGCCCTCGGTGGGATACTTCTGGCATCATACTCGTTCAACATGCCAGATCTGGCTCCTTCTTCTTGTTGAGACCGTTCATTGAAATGAAGGGGTTCAATCCGACATACCATCCCTCACGATTACGATAGCTTCAGTCATCAAGATGACGATTATTCAAAGACAGATTTCGACTTTACGGTCGAGAACACTGCGCACCCTTTGCAGGCCGTGAGACAAGCGAGATCTCTTGGATACTCGAAAGGTTGAGGGTTGGTCGGCTTTCAAGTTAGTTGAAACAAGCTGTCTAGAAGACGACCATTCAGTTGTGTTCTGTTTCCCTTTTTTCTTATTTTAGATAATCCGTTGGGTTGAAAGACAACACTCAACTTTCAAAGAAATTTCGTCATTGTTCTGATTTAGTTTTGCTGATGCTCAAAGCTGGTAACGTGTAGCCATTTCGCCCTGCGCTCAGTCTAGTGGTAATAAATCTCAGGCGGGTTGACAGTAGGTCACTCTCAACTTCGCTTCCCAGTCTTCATTTTTCCATGTAAGCAACATTGATCGAAGCTTTCATTTTTCATAGCCTTTTCAACCAGCAGCCATCAACAAATATACCTGTTCACAGTTTCACGAGTACTGAACGACCAAGTTGTCTCCGGCAGTCTACCCCCACTTCATTGTTCTCAGCCACATATAATTCGGTCCCCGTTTTCGTTATCCAAGAGCTTCTCCTGAGGTGGAGTTGTGCATTCAAGCTCCTATTCTTCACAATTCTCCAATTCATTATCATTATGTCTTTCTCTTTCCGCCACTACCTGGCCGCTGGCATCCGTGGTATGCGCGTCGCCACCGGCACATCATACGAGGATATTTTCGATCAACTCTTCCAAGCTCTCAACGTTCTCCGTCGCGAAGCCGCTCAAAGCGGCGACATTCGGCCTTACTCTGAAGAATACTTCCCAGACGACATCTATGACCCGCCAAGTCCCCAGTATGTCAACCTCACCGGTGTCCCCAGCCATGTCTCTTCCAGCTGTGGCCCAGCTCAGCCAGGACACCAGATCAATATCCCCATTCGCCTCAGTGAAACTCCCCAGCCCACTGCATTCGTTCAGCCCACCGTTTACCCAACCGATCCCAACGCCCCTATTCCAGCTGTTCATAATCCCCCACCCGAGCCCGTCTACAACCCGCACACGGAAATGCCGAGGAGGAAGGGCGACGAGGGAGACAAGCTCTGGCCCTGCGAGTACGACGGCTGCGATGCCTCGTACACCCGCCGTAAAACGTTCCTTGATGTAAGTCTACTTTTCCCTGATTCCTTCCTTGAGCTGAAATGCTAACTTGACTTCACAATAGCACATGGTGGCTAAGCATGGGTATCCAGCACCGCCCAAGAGACCCTCCCGGCCCAAAAATCCCACTAATGCCACAGCTTCTAGTAGCGGACAGGCGCAGGTTGGTCCTTCCGGATCCGCTCCTCAGAATGAAGAGGATGCCAACATGGAGGACTAGTTTTTTCAACTTCCGGCTTTATACAATTTGTATAAGCTTATTCGCTTTTCCGTCATTGGGGCTCAATATTTGTTTGAATTTGAGGTGCAATTTTGGAGCTCCACTGAAAAAAATCATCGTGTGGTATTTCTTTCAGACGTTTTGCTGAGACCGACCTTAGCTTATAGCCTTACGCATCTATGCTTGTCCTTATATCTTCATGCGATTCATCATAACCTCTTTGCCTTGTACTGGTAATAGTGTCGCCCTTCAATAAGCTCATAGTCAATTCACCCATCGAAGCCAGGCCCGCAAAATTGGCCTCCGACTGAAACACCTATTAAGCCCACTGACAACTATCAAAGCTTCTGCAGGCTTGTGCAAAGGTGATCAAGTCATCTCCTGTACCCTTTTTGCACGAGAGAACCTGAATGCGGAAACCTACCGACTACTCTCCTAGACTCTTGCTACTCTTGCTACAATCAGTATGATTGTCAGAAATACCGTTGTACTGGGCTAAACACTAGCCGTTCAAAAGTCCAAGTTGTAGCAGAAGGACCATGGAGATTGGAACCCTCATGTTATCTTTATAGTCGAAGCTGGTCAGCTTCCCGAGTCTCAGTCCTGGATCCCCATCGCTTTTAGTGAGCCTCGTTGGATTATCGCGACGGGAGATGGCAGTAAATAATTCGCATTTCCGAGATATACTAAGTCTTGTTTACCTATTCAGCGGAAATGCTAGGATTGCAGCGGTTGGTTGAGATCTTGTGATGCGGAAAGCCGTCTTTCTCGAAGCGGCGGAGCTGAGATAGTTGCGAACCAGGGGCTTCAAACGACGATATCTTTGGCTAATGAAGCTTTTGCAGACAATGAGCATACCACTCAGCGTCTCGTCAATGTTTTAACTTTTCATTCGCAATTGAGGGCCTGGCTCGGTTACAGTTGTTTCCCACAGTCGAATAGATTATACCTTCATGTTCCGTTAGTCGCCCACTTGTTTTCTCTAGTTGATCAACTCCTGACCTTAGCTAGTTTCCGCCTGATTCAGGCATTCATGTGTAACAGTGCTGGTCTGGGAGCGATGGTTTACGCAATATTTTTGCATGAGTCGAGCCCTGAATTGCCGCTGAGGAGTGGCTGGGGAAGTTTCCAGGCTACTCAAAGGATGAAAGAGAGATTTTACAAAGCGATCCACTTTCAGCAGTCCACTGGCCACAGAGTAGTCACCAAAGTCGAGACAGCCTCGTGAAAGACAGCTCGATTGACACCAACTACCTTCTACTACTCCCCTTATTGTTCTTTCCCTGAAACAAGATTTATGAGCTGGCGCCATAAAGGAATCCTTAGACAGCATGTCTTTCTTCCAGGGCCCTGTTTAACTTCACAATGATATTGTCTTCACTCTCTCTGGCGAGGTGTCAACAAAGACGAATTCTTCACTCACGGACATTGAGCATTAAAGACTAAAGCTAATCCAAGAAGTGCGAGGATCAATGCTCACAACCACATTCATCAAATCATCAAGGATCACTCCAGAACCAATCAATCATGACGTTTGCTGTCGAGAATGCGTTTGCCCTCGCAATCTTGGGAGAGCACAATCCAGAAACTACAACTACCAAGGACCTCATCTTGAGAACAGACTTGGCCTTTTGGAGGGTCAGCAGCCGTCTTCTCGAGGGCAACACGAGCCTCCCCAACGCTGACGCTGACATTTTTGAGGGAGTCTTCACTCTTCCTATGCTCGGTAAACGTGCCACCTCGGGCCTCGATTGGAACACTCTGGCCGCGACAGTCTTGGAAGTCTATCTCAGCATCCGCGAACGCCTAATCCGTGGCGAATGCATCCTCCCCTCTCCTCAAAGCACCATGAGAGCCAGTAGACTCGATCCATCTGTTTCCATCCTGTTTGGTACTGGACCGACGTTTCCTGCTGCTGAATCAGACGTCGGCGAGTTTCCAGATAATATCCTCAACGGTGAGTATGAAGAGTATGATGAAGACAATCGTAAGGCTGGCTTACCTAACTCCGGTCCCATCAATAAGGGCAAAAGGCCACGAGAGGAGGAGGACTCCTCTCCTTCCCCCAAGACGAAGAAGAGAGCAAGGAAAGATAAAGGAAAGGGGGTGTAAGGAGTTGTAGTTTCGTGTCGTTTTAGCAGAAATGGGGGGTATGGTCACTTTTATCTACTTCTAGTACTGTATTTGATTCAAACCGATCTCCTTCTTCAAGATATTGCTATCTAGTTTACATGTAGATTGAAACACATCCAGTGTACCAAAGTTTAAGCATTCCTTCTCCCTACCACCGCTTCCCTACTTTCAGAGTGGGGGACAATCAAAAGTTCATATACCGATATAACCCCTATTTCTCAGCTCCACCCATTCTATTAATCATCAGCATCCCCAAGCTTCTGATTTTCCACTCCTGGCCTGCCAGATGTTGCTGGCACGGCCACTGCACCTACCAGACGCCAGTATACGATCGGTTTCTGATTCATCTTTCTTGCACTCTTTTCTGCTGGAAGACCCAATGTAGAGGTAGCTTTTGATTCCGATAATGAACGAAGAAAGCCGCTGGGTGTACTCATAAGTCCCTTCGCTGCTAGAACGTCAGACCCGGGCCCTCCTACGAAGTTACAACCTCGCCAGGATAGCTGTGCTAGTAGATCTAGAAACAGTCGGCAAGCTCAGCCGTTAGAAACTGACGACTGCAGCAAGGGAGCACTGGGCGCCTAACGTGTCCTTCACGTTCTTCTTGGACAGCAGTGCGGTCCGGCAATGGAATAGATTTCGCCGAAGGCACATTGGCCCATCGATGATGACAGCATGGATGTAATCTTCAAGTGCGGTGAGAACCTTGGCTGGTTCGTAGACAAATACATCAATCGCCAAAACCCCGCTGTGAGTTATCTCATAGCCCTGGCTCTACTGCATTAACCCATAACTAACATCCTTTTCTCCAAGTACAGCCTCCAGATTGCTCGTGCGCCCCACGATTCCCACAATAACTACAATTCGGGTTCAAGATGGGAGACTTATATCAGCAACCTCTACGACTACTTACGTCGGATGATATGTGGCAAGGTCATACCACCACTGGAATCTCTCCGAGTCAAAGGAGAAGTTATACTAGACTGAAAAGAATTCGAAAGGCCTTGGAAAGCTTACAGAGGGCTGCGCGCGGAAGAACAGATAGTCGATCGCATAGGGGTCTCAATTCCCTTATACGCCATCATCCTCCTCGTATCATTCGTTACTTTTCGGGAGGCACAGAGCAGGTTCTCGCCTCCTTTCATTAGCCAGAACTATGAGGTGTGGCCTGCATCGGACCAGCCACAATGGCCGAGTTGGCCATCTGAAGTTTGCGAATAAACACAAATTCTTTTTGGATTATTCCACAACATCTTCACATGTGGCTCGCTCCTTCCTTCTTTTCAATGGTCAGGCGGTGTGAGCTTGCTCCCGTCTACTCATAGAAACCCTACTTCACGGGCCCAGCAGTCAACTTACCATTTCCACATCCACCCATCTACCTGCTGGCTGCCGTTTTTGTTTACGCAACAAAACAAATCAAACGCGTATGTTTCCCTATCCCCATTCCTTTGAATCTAATTGTATCTTCCATCTAAGCTAACAGATCATTCCAGAACAATGTCATTTCAGCTGGAGACTAACCTCGCACGTGCAATTCACATGCAGCAACTCGCTACCGGCGCAACCCGTAACAGTATTTGTGATACTACCGTCACCGCACTGCGACTTATTCAGCAGCGATTTCAGCGTGGGGACTATGAGCTTCCCAGAGCAACGAGAACCTTCGAGCGACAGCTCACCCTGGCAATTCTCATGGAACAAGACACCAGAAACCTCGGCCTCAATGCGCTGATTATACGTACAACGACAGCTTGGGGTCGCATCTCTGGTCGCCTCGAGCAGGGCCTCTCCCCCTTTCCTGAGCCTCACCATATCATCGCCGACGACGGAGATGAAGATGTCTCAATCGAGGAGCGTCTTCGCAGAATGGGACTCGATCCCAACAACTTCGACCTTACCGGCATTCGCTCTGACGCCCCGTGCAGCTCTAACAACAGCAACAACGTTGCCACGGCCCAGCCTCAGACTGACATGAGTTCCACCATCGGTACAGGAGGAATTATCTCCAGTCAAGCTGCTGTCCTTACTCGCGCAATCGTCCAGACAGGCAAAGCTGCCGTGACTGGGAAGCCCCGGGGCCGAAAGCGCGGCAAAGATATGTACGGGTGTGATGTTTGCAATCAGGCGAAGAGGTACACCTCTGCGTGCACTCTCTACAGAGTAAGTTCAGCTAAGCCACAACCACAATCTACCTTAGAGGAGAAGCTGACATGAACGTAACAGCACAAGAAGAGTAAGCACGGCATTCCCACACCAGGAGATGTCCGCAAGGAGAGGAAGTTGGCTGCAGAGGCGGCTCTTGCAGCTCAGGACAATGCCGAACAGGGTGATGGTGGCGAAGAGGATGAAGACGCAGAGGCGATTGAGGAGGTTGATGAGGTTGATGAGACTATGAGCGGGGATACCGGAGACGAGAGGGACTTGGAGTGATTCCATGCATACAATTCTGAAGAGAACCAAGACGAGACATGATGTATCAATGGAAAGGCCCCAGTGAGCACTGAATGAGAACTACTCGATGCTTTTTGATCTCGCTTTGATTAATGGCCTTCCTTTTATGGGACAGAGTTGTCTATACACCGTGATTTGACTGAGCGAACGGGTTCATATACCATAGGCTCCTTCCTCGACCTATCCACCAAGTTACTCGAAGGCGATGCCTATTAGACAGCACCGCCCGGCAAAGGCAGATATCAAGGACAAGACCCCTCTCTTTTCACAAAAGGTTTAGCTAAGAAAGAACCGCAGAAACAATCTCTCTCAATCAAGGAATTTTCGACAGTCAAAGCTACACCAATATACCAGGTCAACAAAGTAAGAACAATGGGCGACAAAGGCCCATTCCCTTGGCCCGACCCTCACTCGCAAATGTCCTTCTCTGGCAGTGAGAGCGAGCGTACAATGGCAGCTTCCAGAAACCCCTCGGAGATGGGCGCATCTTCGACTATGCCCATGGATATCGACACCCAACAATCTCAAATCCCGCGCCGAACCATCTCCTGCCGTCACTTCTACTTCCCCACGCCACAAGAGGAGCACGAAGCAGAGCACCACAAGCAACCTCAGAACACCGCCAAGGAAGTCGCGACCTACCTCGTCGAGAACATTGCTCCCGAGAAGCGCACTGACGCCGTCAAGACTGTCGCCCGAGCCCTCGCTCTCCGCCGTCTCAAGGAGCAAGCCCAGCTGCAGAACCAGCGCGAGAAGAAGAAGCAGGCCGAAGAAGACGACCAGATGACGATCTCCAAGTCAGCCTACAGGCTTCATATGGCGCGAATCAAGGCGGCACAGCAACTTTCCGCAAGCTGGATGAAGGATACGGAGGACTCGTTGGACACGGAATCGATTCAGGCCCGCATCATTGACATGGCCTTGGAGGAGATGCATGATACGGCGGTGGCGCTTGAGAAGGGCAAAGATCCGGCTTTTTAGTACAGAGGAGGAATGATCATGGAGTATCTCGGATACGAGCGAGCAGGCGAGTGAACAGGCGAAACAGTATGGATTGCCAGCATCTAGTAACCGGCAGCTTTCTCGTACATTAGTCTTCAATTCTCCGACTCGTTGGGTGGTATCATCGAGCTTTTCCCATGAGACACAAACTTTTCCTTCATTGCTTACTTGCCACGATGAGCCTTCACTGTTCAGGTTTGAAACCTGTCAGTCGTGGCTTACATCTGGGTCCCATCGAGTGACCGCTCACAGTCACACGTCTCACCGCCGGAGTGGAGATGTTACAATGTCATGTTCGTGAGGCCTCGCGATCCAAACCCTTGATTTTAGGCAGTCGCAGACGGGCTCGGAAAATCAAAAGCAGAACGAGCGTACCTTCTAAAGTGGGCTTCTTCGTCTTCCACCGGAAGGAGCGATAGAGAGACCTGATTCTCCCCCAGATGCCTCAGATATCTCACATTTGTATGTCACATGACCCACTGTCAACTCACCTTCGCCGTCCTTCACCTTTCACTTCACTCAACCCTCTCACCGTCGCACTAAATCCTCATCAAAACCCATAGACCATTGCGATATTTTGACTAGTCTTGTCATCTTTTCAAAAGGTCTCTTGCCGCGCTTTTCTTACCAAAGGTTTTTCATCCTTTCCCTCCTCAATTTGTCATTAGCTGCTCCTTTTTGCCCCTTCCTCACCTCACACAACTACGGCTTTCCGCGCTTCTTCTCAGATCGCTTGATGGGATAGGTACCAATCTTCCATTATTCCACTGCGATCACTGTCAAATTCCTTTCTTTCTAACACCAAGTCTTTCTGACAGCATTGCTTTTTTACTATCCTTTTGGGAACACAAATTTCACAATACCCAGGCAACCTCACCGCACCGCGAGACTCACTCTCCAGCAGAGCTTCACTCTAACACGAATAACCTGGCCGTCTCATCGCAGTGAAATACCAACGAATGGCCCAAGATGGCAACATTACAAGCCATTCCGATTCTTTCCTCTTCCGAGGACGAAGCCGCGGTCGTTCCGTCGTCTCACAAGTTGAGCGCGAGATATGCGGCCGAGAACTCTCCTTCCGTCGAGAGAAAAAAGAGAAAGTGGTCAAAGAAAAGGAATCAGACCCCAGAGTCCCCGAAGCCTTTTAAGAAAACGAAACTCAATATTCACCCATCGGGCTGGCGCAAAAACCGAAAGCAGGACAGCCCGAAGCTGATGACTCCATCGCCGCTCGCCTCCTTCCCTCGACCTCACAAGCCAAATCACCCGTTCATAAAGACCTCGACAATTCAATCTGAGCGTCACGCTGTTGAGCCCGAAGTTGAGGAGCCCTCGAAGTCTCCCATCCAGGACACAGAAGACGGAGAGCCGGTTGCGACTATCGAGACCGATGACGATATCGAGACTGGTGCCACCGTCGATGCTGGTAGCACCGACTCGGATGACATGCCCATAGCTAGCAGGTCGTACAAAAGAAGCCCATTCGTCGGCCAGACCTACGAAGTCCTCGAGCAGCTCATCGAAGACAGAGCCAGTCCCGACCTCGGCACACAGCCTACCCAGAGACTCGGACCTTCCAGCAATGTGCCTGGAAAAGAGACACTCGCGGATGATGATAATTGCTACATTTCCAAGGCCGCCTTCAACCTCCTCACAGCTCGCCATACGACTCTACAGCACATGGTCAAGACGTTCATCGACTCAGTGAACGAACTAGAGACCACAAGCAAGGGCGACAGGGACATCCGCGACGGAATCCTAGCCGAGGCCAAGTCTCTTCAAATGGGCATCAAGGCAGTCTCCAATGCTTCATTCGAGCTCCCGTATGCCAATCGAACTGGCGCCGCTGCCCGAGCAGCTGCGGGCATGACCCTTGCAGACATCGAGAAGTTCAACAAGAAGAAGAGGATTCACGCTGAAGCCAAGGCTGCTGCCGCGGCGCAGCAGGCTACTACAGAGGAGGCTAGGATCGCAGAGATGGTGAACAACGATAGCGCTGGCGTTCAAGACAATCTGGAGGATGAGGAGGAAGTGGACAATCCTGAGGAGCAGGCAGCTGGCACTGATGGAGAACCAATGGATGAGACGGAGTGAATGGGCTAGCGAGCACAAAGCTTTGAGATTTCGTGCACACTGCTCCCCGGATATCTTCAAGTGACACATGGCATACGAAGTTTATCAAGGTGGCTTGGTTTTGGAGCGACCATTCCCGAAAAGCTGATCAAACGCAGCGGGTCGTGCTATCCAGGATATGGGGTTCAGGATGTGTACTCAGGTAGCCAGAAATGTGACTTTGACGATTACGAAACGCCTACTTCCATAGTATAAGTGACTTCTCTCATCGACAGGCAATCCATGGGCAAAGTCGCTTGCAAGTGACAATCCCAACTCTGTCTCCCAAGGCGCCCTCAACGCGGGATCTCCATGTCAATCACGCCGATGACCTGAGAGAGCCAAACATCTGGAAAATAATTCACTTCAACCACTATTAACCATGACCACAGAATCTTCTATCGCTCTGTTCAGTTGATCCCTCGGGAACCCTGGCCCTTTCATGAGACACACCGCACACCTCGACAAATTAGCAATCAGCAGCGTGATATTCAACTGCACCGTAAACGTCTTCTTCGACCTTCTCTGCAACGTCTCCGGGAAACAATCCACAAAACTCCAACTCTCCGACGCCAAAGACCGTTTCTTTCCCGCGTCCGAAGTCAACTTCAAAGGCCCACTCATCTTCAGCTCCAGCGTCTCCTTATCCACCACCCGAGCACCAAGCGCAATAAGCTGCCTCTCAACACCAGCAACGCTCAGGAACCGCGTCTGCCGGGCATCTGCCAGCGCAGTCTTCTCAAAGAGGTCGAGGTTCTCAGGCGACAGGTCCTCGGAGCTGAATTCGTCGCCGTACCAGCGCCCTCCCATGGGTAATTCTGCGGCTTGCTGAAGTTCATGTTGGCCTGGTCCGACGAGCCACCTCATTTTCGTGATGATATCGTCCCTGTTACGGTATCTTAGTGTTGAGCTGAAGATGCGCGGTTCTTCTCCGTGAGGGAGAGGCGAGTCAAGGGATTTGCTGAGGACGAGGTAGCCTAGCGTGAAGCAGGTGTGTGTGAGGCGGAAGCTGAAGGAGTCTGGGCTGGGAGTGGTTGTTGAGCCGCAGTGGAAGGTTCCTAGGGATGGGGGTAGTGAGGCTGAGGTTGGGCGGCAGGCTAAGGATGTTAGATGGGATAGGATTTGGTCGTCTGGTGTCAGGGTCGGAGGATCTGGTGCCGGAGGGTTTGCCTGCGGAGAAGACGCCACGTGGGATGTGTTATCTATAGCACAAGGATCCTCCTCTTCTATGCCCGTACCAGCATGATCTTTGTAGTCGAGACTTTGTATCGAAGTTCGCTTCGCTTCTCTAAGCTTCCTCTTCCTCCTCTTCGGAAGCTCATCCTCCAACGCCACAGCATCGTCAGCCAAAGCCAACACGTGCGCCACCATCTCCTGGATACGCGTCAAGACCCCTACTTCCTGCTTCAGCGCCTCAATGTCCAGCATCCAGTCGACAAGCTCAACGACCGCGGTGCTCATCTTGGCGACGGTAGTTTCTAGATGCTGCAGACGGGTTGCCTGGATCTCTTCCGCAGCTTGCTTGCGTTTGCGAAAGACTTTTTGGGCCTCGCGGTTGCGCTCTCGGCGGGTCTAAGTTGGGCATTATATTAGCTAGACGGCACGTGGGACACAATTATATCCGCAGAATGGCTGTTGACGACTTGCCTGAAGTGCCTGGTCGGGAGAAGGCGACCGCGAAACATGATCGCTCGATTGCTCGCTTGGCAGTGCTTCGGGAGACATGGATATGGCGCCAATGTTGGACTGAGCGAAAACTCGCGTTTGAGGTTGGTAATGAGTGAAAATGATGTAATTGGGACCGCCTTATCGATGTTGAAACTCTTGAACGAGATGAATGAATCTGATAGTCTGGACTTGGGGTTTTTGGAGTGAGTGCTCTTGTGAGATGACAACAAAGGGATCCACGAAAGTCTCTCCGACTCCTTCGGTAGCGGCTTTATGACATAAAACTTCCCGACGCCTGTCAGATTTTAGTCTAGCCGTAAGGTAAGCCACCATAGTGTCTCGGAAGTCGCACTAGCTTGGTCCAACCACCTTTCCACGGAGCTAGGGCTCTGGAAGTTCGACGAGACAGCCGTGTGGAAATAACTATGTGAGCCGCAACAGCTGCATATGCAGATCCCTCAAGATCCTTATTTCGGATAGTACCTCGGTGCCTCGGCTCACCTAAAGAATCCAAAGTAGCGATGGTGAGGTGTTGTACGAGATTCTTCCTGCTCGGCGTCTCAACGGACATCTCCAAGACCCGATATCCTCCTTGACTGAGTGCTCAGACCAGGAACATTATCGGTCGGTAACTCAACCAGGAAATCCGGAACCTGTTTTGATGGTCTCACGTAAACTTGTTCGCGCGCACTGATGTTGGAGATTTGAAGGGCGTGGGATGTTGATGGAGGATATTTAGTAGAACAGGTTATAAGAGGTCACAATGAAGACGAGTATTTGAGACCTATCGAATCTAAATCATCCAGAATTTTCACCAAGCATCATTCCGAGAAACGGTAAAAACTTCGAATTTCCACCATGGTTACCTCCGGAGACGAATATAAGAGTACCTCTTCACGAGGCATGGCTGCCTATGCTGCTCCTTCGCTTTTCCAGCCTCACAAAGCCCGTCAAGCCATCCGAGACGCCCACGCAAAGAAGATTCCGCCACTGCTTTGTTACTACGCAGGGTTGAGCTCCATCCCCATTACCCGGTACTTGGCCCCTATGGGCTTCGATGCCGTATGGATTGATTGGGAGCATACCCCATGCAACACGGAAACCATGACGACGGTACTCAAAGAATCACTGCATTAATCTCGAAGAGTGTTTTGACGCCGCGTAGATGGTTCACGAGGCTTCATTCATGAGCCAAGGCCGCACTATTCCATTCGTTCGGTATGTCTGTCGTACGTCTTCTCAGACTTTCATGCTGATACAATTGCGCAGCCTCCCGGGCCACGATCACGCTACCATTGGGTATGCTCTCGATGCCGGCGCCAGCATCGTCATCCCTCAAGTCGAGACAGTTGAACAAGCAGAACATGCTATTGCCGCCGCTAAGTTCGGCACTGCGCAGAACGGCACGCGATCCTTACCGCCTTTCCGTCTTGTGCCCGGTCTTACCGATACTCCTTATGACCACCGCGACCTGCACAAGTGTCTCAATGATCAGGCCGCCATCATGATTCAGATCGAGTCAGCCCAAGCTGTCAAGAACCTCGATGAGATTCTGACGGCTTGCGGTTCAGATATCGACATCGTCTGGTTTGGCACTCTTGATGCCCGAGTCAGCATGAACCTCGAGGCCAAGATGGGGGGGATTGGAGCTTCTGAACCTGAATGGGTCAAGGTGTCGAAGCTATTCTTTGATACCATTGACAAGCACATTAAGCCTTATGCGGGCTTTGCGTTTGGCGGGTCTCCCTATGGGAGTCCAGAGGTCCTGAAGAAGGCTGCGGAGCGGATGAGTCTTATCATGGTCTCGGCCGACGTGGTTCACTTGGGTGCCATGGCACAGGACCTGCAACAGGCGAGGGAACTGATTGGAACGACGAGATAGTTCCATCTTGCGAAAGTGGCTCGGGCAGACGTCGCATAGAGTTGCAGGTTTCACCGATAAGAGAGAACATGCTTGGAGTGAAGAGAAGTAGTTTTGAATAATTGATCATGGTGGTATTAATGCATGCGCTAGTCCTGCTGCTGTCTTATGCCTCATTTTCGTCATTTGCCGAGCTCAGCTTCATCAATCCAACATCTACTGTTTAGCAGTTCGCAACGACATCTTGACCAGCCTTTACAGACTTATCAAGTCCCGCTTGCGCATCAGCTACGGCTTGGTCGCTCCTATACAGGTTGTTAGCCATTGCAATCCTCGATTTGCACATGATGAGACAAGGATACGCACGCATCACCCCCAGAAAGAGCGGTACCCGCTGCAGCCAGTCCAGCTGCTACCTCATCACGGCTAGCCGCGGGCGGTGCAGCGCCACTGACGATGGACTTTGCAATTTGTGCGATGCCGCCTCGTGCTTGTTGGAGACCAGCATTGGCAGCGTCCTGGACTGTTGTATCGGTGATTTGGGAGACAGCGTCTTCGGTATTGCCAAGGGCGCCTAAGATCTGGAGTCTTGCGACGTTGCAGGAGAGGCTGCCGAGGTTTCCAAGCAATTGGCGTCTTTCGATGCTTCCTAAAGGCGGTCGTCTGATTAGACAAAGATGGGATGACTATGGTTTTCGAGAAGATTATACTTACTTGCGCTAGCGAGAGTGGCGCTGGTGGCCATCAGGAAAGTAACAAGAACTTGTTGGGCGTACATTTTGTGTGGGTTGGGGTGAATCAAATGGGTATCTTGAGAAGAAATGTGGAAGGAAAATGGGCGCAAAGACTTGAGATAAGCTTAAATAAAGATGACACCAGGTCTAAAGAAGAAAATTGGTTGTATCGGATGGCAGTTTCGCTGTTGATGAGTTGAAACTTTGTGACATGAACTGACAGCGACGCGACAGGTGCCATCTTATAGTTGAGCTGACAGAAGCGCTGCATCTGCCATCGTGTGGCCTGAGATGATGCGATGACCGGCTTGGAAGGCCTGAAAAGATGGCTGAGCATCTGTGTTACCTGGGCATGACCGGTTTCGAAGATCGAACGAAGTTTCAAAACATGGGAATGAAGCGACGCTGCGAGCTCCTCGGATGAACCCCTGTTCTCTTTGGCTAGGGTCACTGGTGCTTTGGGTGGGGATGACAGGGAGAAAGTACTCCAAAATCCCACGGTTAGAAATCATCGCCATTGCAATTCGTCGAGGGGAGTATTTGAACCTCCTTGAAGATCAAACTGCGCGGCGGGGTGATATGCAGCAAGAAGAAAATTGCGATTGGCTGCTCAGCCGCTCGTCAGGGGATATGATCTCCGGATCCGACACTCTTCCATGGGCAGCGAAACTGAATTTCACATCATAAATCTGAATGTTAAGGCCTAGGACGTCGCTTCGGTATCCCACGTCTTGTAATAGCATTCGCTTCTTAGCGCGTTTTACCTAGTCTTAAAGACCACCTCTTAAGCTTAATACTGATCTTTGGGGCGTTGAAGAGTCTCCCCCATTTTAAGACATGGCTCTTGTGGACACTCGTCATTCGACTTAGGCTTCTGTAGCACTGCTAGAGTTCTAGTCGACAAATTGTCAATGACTCTTAGTCGCAATTCAAATAGCACAGTTGTGTTGAACAGTGGCTCCGATAGTCTTTTGCAATGAGATCTAGGCATTCAATGTATCCTCCAAATACTTCGTGGCTGTTGATAAATGACGCACCTAAGATGTTCTCAATGCTGGACTGAAGATCTAGCTTAGCTGCAGGGAGCCGGACCAATCATGTCTCTCTACCAAAATAACAAATCATCTTCTTCTCGTTTGACTTGAGTTCAGCTGACGATCGGCGCCTCAATCTTGGCATCCTACCTACACCTTTTCAACGCTCGCCTCCGCCAGGCAGCCGATTCGAGATGTGGCTTATTGACACCGATAGCCTCAAACTCGTAGAAGTGCAGGGCGACCCCCAGGAAGAGTACGCGATCTTGTCTCACACCTGGGGCAGCGACGAAGTCACGTTCCAAAGCTTTCAAGCGCTCGGCTTGGCCTCGGACACGGCACCCGGTCCGGGGTCGGGCTCCGCGGATGCGGCCGACCAGATCCGCTCCACCAACGGCTTCCGCAAGATACGAGATGCAGCCAACCTGGCCAAGAGCCATCGCCACCGCTACCTCTGGGCCGACACCTGCTGCATCGATAAGACTAGCAGCGCCGAGTTGTCGGAGTCCATCAACTCCATGTACCGTTGGTACGAAAAGGCAGCCATCTGTTACGCATTCCTCTCCGACGTGGAGCCAGTTTCCGCGCAGAGCCCGTTTGCCAAGGATTCGAGTTTCCAGAATAGTCGGTGGTTTACCCGAGGATGGACGTTGCAGGAGCTCATTGCGCCAAAGACTGTTGAGTTCTACGCCGGGGACTGGTCTTATATCAACACAAAGCAGTCGAGAAATGTCTTTTGCCAGCTGCTTGCCAGGATTACTGGCATTGACGAGCAGGTGCTCTCTGGTACATCATTCCTCAGCGACATCAGTGTCGCGAATAAGATGCGATGGGCAGGGCATCGACAGACGACGCGACCGGAAGACAAAGCATACTGCCTGATAGGATTGTTCAAGGTAAACATGCCCTTGCTCTACGGTGAAGGTGACCGCGCTTTCACGCGTCTGCAAGAAGAGATTCTCAAAGAGAGCGATGACCAGTCCTTGTTTCTCTGGGGGATGCCAGAGGACGTTCAACCCTCGGATGACCTCTTCGGCCTGCTTGCAAGTTCACCAAGCTCATTCTCAAGGGTCGACTTTGACCATGTGCGACCTCTACCTCCTTCAGAATCCCAGGATAGTGCGCCAACCAGTGTCACTAATCAAGGGCTCCGAACGAATATCCTCCTCATCCCCCGACAGCCGGATGGAGATGAGTACTACGCTCTTTTGGATTGCATAGTCTCCAAGGCCGACTCTGCCAGCGAGGAGATGAGCCCTTGCATCATTCTACAACGACTTTGGAGTGACCAGTTCGCAAGAGTTGCCTCTGAAGAGGGCTCTGTCATCTTGTTTCCTTTGGATCATTTCGATGACGCTGAGGGGACGTACGAGAACATCTACGTAAAGGAAAACCCATTCTACGCACTCCCTGAACTCAGTGTGAAAACAAAGCTTCGGCCCAACTCAAAGGATGCTATTGCACATCTTGCCTTCACCATTCACGAAGCATATCCGCCGGAAAGATGGGACACCACTCTATCCGTGATACGGACTAAAGAGCCGCACTCGAACCGCGCGATGGTCGTTTTGCGCTTCATGTCACTTGATCAAAGCCAGCGATCAGTCGTAGATGTTGCCATTGGGCTCCGTCGGGTCAGGAGACGGTGGGAAGTGTGCTACGAGAAGCATCCTTACACTGGCAACAGTCTCGAGTCCGTCTACCTGGAGTTTTCCGAAATTGCTACTACTTCAGATGGCCCTGCATCGTACCAAACCTCAAAAGGCTTGGGTTTCATCACCATCGACGCCAAAGAGTCTCAAAGAAGAGGCCGTCGATTTATTCAGCTGGAAGTTTCCGGTACTTCTGAACTTCTCTTTGCACCAAGTGACGAGGATGTTCTGTCAAGTACGCCTAGGCGAACTCCAGAGCCGCAAGAGCCTGTCGTACTGTTTGACGAGGTCGGTGCAGTTACGCGTTGCTGTTGCTATCAAGACAGGTTCACCCTTATGCTGGCACCGACACTTCCCATGCCCGAGGGAGTGAGGATAAAGACGGCAGTCAACATTGCCATTCGATTTGGAAATGAACTCCACGCCGTCAAGATTGAGCAAAGTAAGCCATACGCCGATTTGATTCGGGCCGTTCGAGCGCGAAGTGATAGGGATGTCCAGTCTCTTGCAAGGCAACGAAGGGGTCTTCTTGAGCTGCGGACAGAAGAGTTTGACGACTTCAGAGCCATTCACTGGGCCGCAACTCTTGGTTCGCTATCCATGCTCAAGACGTTGTTGAAGCTAGGTGCGAATACCATGAGTCAAACCAGAAGCGGCTTTATGGCTGTTCATCTTGCTGTACTCAATGGACACTTCAACCTCGCTGCATATCTTCTGGAAGAAGAGAGAGAGTCAAATCTAAAGAAAAGACCCGACATTCTGCAGGGTATTACAACCGAGGTCTTGCAAGCTGAAGCCGAGATCGCGTTTTACTCTGGAACCGACCCCGACATTCTGCACAAGTTCACGACAAAAAGACTCGAGACCATTCTCCATCTCTTCTCTGCATATGCGCCTGCCGGACTGGCAAATCACAGGATACGGAAGATTATTGATTTGATCAAAGAGGACTTCCTCGGCTCGCACTCGTTCCCACACATCAACGACCTAGGCGAGCTTCCGCTGCATCGGGCGGCAGCCACCGGCAACATGCAGGCGGTAGACGCACTGACCAAGATGATGGGCACAACTAAACACATCGACGCCAGAGATAATGCCGGACGATCAGTTCTCTTCCACGCAGCCTGCGGTGGCAGCAAAGAAGTCATCCGTGGCCTGGCCGACTTGGGTGCGTCGATAGACGTTGGAGATGACTACGGCCGCAGCCCGTTACATGCCGCCGTTATGGCCGATCAACCATCAGCCGCCAACGCGCTTCTCAAGTTGGGGGCGAAAGCGGACAACGTCACCCATGCACTCGGTTTGACCCCCTTGCATTTTGCATGTCTTTATGGATCTATCGGCTGCACTTACGAGCTCTTGAAGAGCGACGGGTCTGGACCGGCGGACTTGAACCGATGGTCGAGCGGCGAGTATGCCTTTTTCCAACCGATCCATCTAGCTGTTGCCAATGATCATGTTGAGATTGTGACTCGGCTTGTGATGCTAGGCTGCGACTTAGAAGGCCGCTGCAACGGTTATTTGAAGCTCGAGAAAACTGATGGTCCCGACGGCCGAATAGGCAGATTGGTGAGATTAGAATCACCATTGACGGCTCTTGATCTGGCCATTGTTCTTGGTAAGAAGGATATGCTGCCAGAGCTACAGCAAACCAACGCAGCTCGACGGTACGAATAGACACGAGACCTCGGAGTCTTCAGGGTTGAAGGAAGGACTAGCCGACCCACGAGATCTTCTCGGACTTCGCGTACATAGTAGCAGCATAGAAACTTGAATTCGAATGTATCTGGCCGCAAAGAGCCACGAAGAGGCGGACTCACCAGTGGATAAACCTTTATCCCAAAGTCCCTTGAATAATCCTTCCATACCTTATATGAGCAAGGTTTTCTGATCGTAGCAATAAAGGAGCAAAAGTGCCCGGCGCAGCCGCTCATAGCCTCGATCAAAAAATCTGAACACGATTTCTCATTGGCCGTTAAGATCATGACCAAGCGGTTTGACATTGTCGTGGCGCGCTTCGGATGGTGCGTGACATCACGCTTGCTGAAGAAGAGACCCTTCAACCAACGATACCGCAAGACTACTGCGTAGACTCCGTTTCGCCCAGACTTTTCTCCACATAGTCCGCTTCGAGCTGCCCTGCCACCGCCGTCATGCTCGCTTTCCAAGAAGCTCGCTTACCACTGCTGTTGCTGCTTGAGGGAGACAAGTCCGGCTTGGCGGGAGGAATTTGAGTTCGCCAAAACATGCGGTATGAGGTATTTTACTAAAGAAAAACAGAAATTTTACACGATCTGCTTTGTCAGTTGCCCAATGCAATGGAGCCTCTCGTGTTGCGCCTCCGCTGCCCAGTATGCT